AACTTACCCATGGTAAAATATTGGTGTCTTTCTGGTAGCAGGGATTGCGGAGCTGAGATAGAAGTTACTGACTATGTAGAGGATCTCAAAGGGCCCTTTTTGTCAGTAATCGGAAGAGGAAGCCAAACACAGATAAGAAAACCAGAATTGTGGGTCAAGCACATTGAAAGCTTCTTTGTACAGAAAGCCTTTTTTCTTGGTCTTTTTCTTCCTTTTTGAATGCCAGGGTAACTTAACTGTGTGTCTGAGAAAGCATAAGACTAGGAGATAGAAAGAGGTATGTCACTTGGATGTACAAATTAATATTTAGAATTAGGAGGGGCCTCAGATACTGTATTCATGGAGACTTTTCAGTGGCAAAGAACAGAAGCTAATTCAAGGTAATTTAACCAAAAAGGAGAATTTATTGTAATGGTACGGGTGTCCCTCCTGGTACCTGAAGATCAGGATACATGGTGCCTCAAGAACTGATAGCTTTTCCTGCCCCTTCATCCATGGGGCAGAATGTGGCCATCTCACAGAAGCTTGGAAAGGATGTAGAGAATCGTTACCTGCATCTCAGCCCCAATTTAACACCCCACCAAAAGAGAGAGTCTTAATTGTCCGAGCCTGTGTCGTATGTCCCCCATCTTCTGCCCTGAGTGGCATGCCAAGCAATACAAATGTGAATGTCCATTATTTTGGATGGTATTTGTGATGGGATGGTTTGAAGGACCATCCCTTGCAAAGAGAAGTGGTTGTGTGCTGGCAAAGATCCCTAAAGTCTCTACTTTGCCACCCCCCCACCCCCACCCCCATCCCCACCATCTGGCCTGGCTTTCTCATTTAATGATATGGAAATTGAGGTGGAATGGTATAAAATACTCTGTCCATAGTCATGGCTTAATGGAAGTGGGATAAAGACATATTTATCATCTACACTGGGTTACTTTTGAGAGGGAATGCTATTAATGCATAAACTGGACTATTCCAGAATAATTAGGCTATATGGTTACCCTTGAATGGAAGAGGTATAGAGCTCAGATTTTAAGATAATAAATTGATTTGTTTTCCTTTGGCTTGGGTCAGAAAAAAGTAAAATAATTGTCTATCTATGTATTTGTACAACGGAAAAAAGTGTAATAAGTGTATATTGTTGTTCAGGGTGCAGTTTGTTTGCACATAGAGCAAGGTGCAGTCTTGTTTTGCTTTGTTTCTCATTTTCTTTTTTTCTTGCTTTATTTCGTTTTCTGTTTTCCTCTTTTTTTTTTTGAAAGGAACAGTCCTATGGGGCTCTATATTGCATTTGGGACTTCAAAATCCTAGCAGTCAGTAATCAGGCATTTCTTCTGTGTGTGGTGGTGAAATGCTCGACTCTGACCTCTATCTCTCAAAACTCCAAGTACCATGGTTGTGACTAGCATCTTTGTGTTCTTGCTCAGACAATATTTAATAGAGATCTTCCTAAAGATGACCTTTAGACGTCTTCTGGTTTTTATGTGTACCATGCAGATGATGTGACCTCTCAGTGTGCTTTAAGATTTTAGGCATTTGCACTAAGAGCTAAGTCACCTTGGGCAAATTACTGAAGCTCTTGGAGTTCCAGTTTCATCATCTGCTCAAAATACATAACATCCCAGTTGTTCTGAGGTTTAGATGAGATACTGTGCATAAAGAGTTTAGCACAGTGTTTGGCACAGAGTGAGCACTCAATAAATGGCCACTATTACTGATTAGAATTAACCTGAAAGACTTCCAAGAGGTGTGGAATGCTTTTTTTTTCTTGCCTATGCTATAGTTAGACAATGTCCTACATCTGTTGTTTAAGGAATAGTCCTCTCAGAGTGACAGTCTAAATTTAATTATACATAAAATGCATGATATTCTTTCTAACTTCTTACCGAATTTTCTCTGGAGTGTATTTCCTTTACTGAAGAAAAAATATAAAAACTGCTTTTGTAGCTGGAAGCTATATACCTTTTACTTAAATTGTGAAATTGTTTCATATTAAATAAGATCTAAGAAAATACAAAAGAGAGCTTCCTCTCCTGAAAGTCAGAGGCTGCTAATATGTCATTTCTGAGGCCAGAAAAGAGGATTTGTCTTGGATTTTTTAATCCAGAGATCTGTATTTTCCTTTTAGATTTAATCCAGTTAAATCAGCCTTCCCTCTATCTTGAGTTTCTTGTTCTGTTCCCAGTTTTCCATTGAGTAGGAGAGTGTTCTCCAGAGGCCTCTGAGCATTGGCAGGGAACAGCTGCCTCAGCAGTAAACACCACAGTTGTTGGCACTGATAGAAACAGCAGCAAGCAAGTTGCTTTGCCCTTCGACTGCCAGAGCCTCTGAATACTCAGAAACGGCACCATGAAAGACATAACTTTAGATTGACTTGTAGGTAAATTAAAATTAACAACCTGCTTTCTTCTTTTGGGTTGTTATTTTTCTCTCTTAAAATAATAGTACCATGTATGCTGTTCTATCAAAATGGAGGATCGCAACTCAAAAGCAGGCATCTCCATAAACATGAAACAGCTCATTTTTTATATGCTCCAGCTTTTGCTTGTCAAAACAACATTTTTTTTAACCTGTATCACTGAAAGCTGGAGCCCACCTCAGAGAAGGTGTACTAGCAGTTGATTAATGGGAGTATCGTTCCATTCTGGACTCTGATTCATTTAGCACCACTGTGTGCAAGCTCCATATGACAAGTTGGGGACACTAAGAAGGGGACACTGATTCCTGCCCTCACGGAGTGTAACTCAGTTCAGCAAACGTCGTGGGCCTACCTGATGCTCACCACCTAACCGGGATCGACTTGACCATGTCAGATGGGGTGTGAGTGCAATAAAACAAATGTTTTTTAAACCTGCTGCCATAAAATTCAAAGACTGGGAGGTTTGCTAGGTGGAGATTTAGGAAAGACTCTGAAAGCAGAGGCCAGGCACAGTGGGGAAGACATTTGCGAATAATTACCCGAATGCCAGGCATTGAATCAAGCATATTCCACGCATTGTCTCATTTCAAAATTGTGACTTAAAGACCCTTATTTGTAGGTCATTATAAATTAAAGAGCTTGAAAAATTTGGTGAGCAAGAAAAGTGATCATGCTAGACATACTATTGTGTAACTAGGCTTTGCACTTTTAATACATTTTGGACATTTCCTGTATCACTGTGTGTGTTTTCACTTTACTCTTAATGACCCCTGACTTATTTAACCATGTTCCTTATAATTAAGTTAGGTAAGAAGATAGAAACATAAGGAAAAAAAACTTAAAAAGGAACAAAATAAAACCATGAAAGCTTTAGGAGGAAATAGTGCTTTAAAAAAGATTTTATTTTTTTAGAGCAGCAAAATTGACAGGAAGGTACAGAGATTTCCCATATCCCCTCCTTCCCCGCACATGCACAGCCTTCCCCATTATCACCATCCCCCACCAGAGTGGTGCATTTGTTGGAACTGATGAACCTACATTGACACATATAATTACCCAAAGTTCATAGTTTACATTAGGATTCATTCTTGCTCTTGTACATTGTATAGGTTTGGACAAATGTATAATGGCACATATCCATCAGTGTAGTATCTTACAGAGGGTAGGCACATTTTTAAACACATTATATTAAAAAGGCAGACACCTTAACAGAAAACATAGGAGTTTTGAATACATAAAAATTTAAAAATCCTTTGAATATCAAGATTACTATAAATACATTTTAAAGGCATTATCTCATTTAATTCTCACAAAAGTTTTATGAAGTAGGTTGTTAGGTTCCTTTTAAAGAAGAGGAAACTGAGGCCCAGAGAAATGACATTGTGAAGATCAACAGATTTGTGGGAGATTGATTATCTTGGTGAAGAACAAAAGCTGATAGAATGAGAGGCATAGTGAGGAGGTAGTTCGAGCTTAGCCTTTCCAGTAGCCTTTGATATGAATCCCAGCTTTACCACTTCAAGGTAATGGATGAGCTTCATTTTAGACAGTTAAAAATATTATATTTTAATATTGTACTTTGAAGTGTTCATTTCCATACACTTTCTCATTGTAACTGTTGTGACAAAATGATACCTTTTTCAGGAGTGTCTTCAAATGAGAAATTTCAGAGACATCAAGGACAGACAAATTAGATGCTAATTACAAAGAACATAAATTCCTTTTTACGATCATATAGTGTGACACACACATCCCTTAAATAGTAGAAATTATCAAGGTCTTAGTTAAATAGGGACAGTATGGTATAGATGATTAACTACTTATTAAATAAAGAAGAGGACAAAAGCCAAAACTGTGGGAGCTATTATCAATTGGATGAAATAAAATATTGATTGTAACTATCATCATAGTTTATCAGTGGGAAAATATGGAGTGAAGAAATTTAGAATGTAAATGTTTTTAGACCATATTTAAGTGAATTCAATCAAGTTAAAAGTCCCACCCCATCTTGGATAAGAGCAGATGGCTTATTGATTATGAACAATAAAATGTTGCTGTGCAATTGATCTAAAATTTGACTTAAAATAGGGATATAAGATTTACCTCCTCTGTAATAACAAATTTTATGCTATCTAATAACTTTGAGATGTTTACAGAATCATGTTTAATGGGCCCTCCAGAGTCCTGGTAAATACCACAGTTTGGTCTGTTTTCTACATTTTTTTAGGAATCTGGAAAAGCTGTAGGAAATGAAATATATATCATAAACTTTTTTCATAACTTTTTGTTCAACTACTGCTCTCTTCAAGGTTTGCAAAAAGGTCAAGGATGGTGTGTTTTTTATTAACTGCATTCAAAACTGAACTTAAGAGATTTTAATAGCTGTTTAGAATTAGTGTTCAAATCCATACTACACAGAATATTAAGATTTTTAGGCTTAAAGAGTCCCACATGTAGCCTCTTAAAAATGGACTTCATTGTTTAACTCCAAGTATATACATGTATGCTTGTGTACATGTATAAATGTATACATATATATTTATGCAAAATATACTTACAAGTGCATTTTATTTTTTTTCTCAAACAGATAAACAATCAGATCCTGTATGGAAGAAGTCACCAAAATGCATCTGCGATTATTAAGACTGCACCATCAAAGGTCAAGCTGGTTTTCATCAGGTAAGATAGATGCACATGGTTTTCTAAAATCTAAGATCTCTTCTGGAGATGTTATTTATGTAAGCCTATTTTATCTTTGGTTTTTCTAACAACATCCCTGTATTCTAAACATGCATTTCCTCTTGTAACTGTCACTTTAAATATAGATTGTTTTGATTATGAGGCTTTCTTGTTATTTATGTTTCATATGATAGCATTGGTAGTTGAGGCTAGTACTCATTTTTCTATTTTTAAAAATTCTTCCCTTCCTGGATCTGATTATCCTCCATAAATATAATAGAGCCTTTTAGCTTCTCCTTTTTCTGTCACCATCATTTAGTACATTTGCTGACTCATTAATGCCTTCACCAAAGAAAAAGCAGGAAAGCAGAACACAGGGAAATTTTAGGAGCTTCATATTAAGAGTGCTGGTGAGAAATCCAGAGGGGAGGAGATATGAGCTCTGCTGTCTAGAGTCATGCGGTGTGTTTGGGATTCCACATTGCCCTGTGCCTCACTCGCTGGCTGGCTGAGCTCTTTTTGGCATAAGTGAATCAGAACTCGGAGCCCTCGCTGGTGGTAGCCATCATTGCCTCATCAGCAATGGAATGAGGTTTGACTTCCTGTTATTGGACTGAAATGACAGGTAAATCTGAAATATTTTTAGGTGACGTCACTACACTTGTATGTTAACTGTTGCTCTGTTTCTTTTCCTCCTGTGCCTCAGTTATCATTTGTAAAATGGGGATAATAAAGCTCCTACCTCATTGTGATATTTCAAAAATTTGAAATGTTCAATACAGTGTCTAGCATAGAGTAAAGGCTGAAAGAGCGTTAGCAGGTATTTTATGGTGGTGATTATTATTATTATTCCCCTTTCATTAGTTATCTATCAGTAAGATCTATCCAATCTCAGGGCACCCCCAGGATTAAGGGGTAGTTTTATTCCCAGACATGGGCACTATTGTACCTGATTGAAGTATCCCTTCTTATGCCATCACTTCGGCCTCGAGAGATTGCTACTTTGCTCCTAAAGAAATCCTACACTGGTGATCTTTTCTCTACCCAGTTGCACTTGCTGGCCTTCCAGTTTTTCCTCTTGTTTCCAGAGGTAGAAACCTTCCTCCTTCTTGGATGTCTTCGTGTGTTAAGACAACCTACTCTGGCTTACTCACCTAGAAGTCCTCTGTTAGGCACCAATCTCTTTTTTGGATTTCTTTGCCCTTCCTGTTACCAGAGGTTACAAAATTAGACTTAGATGATGAAAACTTAGAGACTTAAGGGAAGGTCAGCCACTCAAGAGTTTAAGATATCCATCAAGAGAAGTCCATACAAGCAAGCAGTTCAAACCATTTAGGTGTGAAAACTGTATAAAGTTGTGTGAAGGTTTCATGAGAAGACTTGTATAGCACTCAACGGTGTCTGCACATCTGGATACGCTCAGCATGTGGTGGTGAATGCTGCAAGTGCTGTTACTAACGTTACTGTTGCTTCTTTAGCATTTGTGAGCCTTTATTACCCATACCAAGTCATCCCATGATAAAGAAAGCAAAAAGAAAATTTAATAGGGTCCAAAGGAAATCATGTAATGCAATTAAGTAGTTGGAAAATACAACCCTCCTCCTTTGAGAAGGAAAGGTTAAATGACCGGAATTTATTTAGGATACAAAAGAGAAAGCTGAGTAGAATTTCAGTAATAATAATAAAGCACCATTAATTTAGTGTCTGATGATTTTAATTTTGATTATTCTGAAGGGACCAAAATTAAGGAAAGAATTTGTTCAATAAATTAATGGTGTAATCATGATTGACGATGCTGCTGAACACTTATTTGCTGGACGTGTACATTCAAAATATGTTATCTAATTATGAACATTTCTCGCATGGTCATTAAATTATACCTGGCACATAGTAGGCATTCAGAAAGCTTTACTGAATAAAATTTTTTCAGCTTCTAATAAGCAGTTCTAAATTATTTGTTCTCCAAAGGTAACAATCATAGTAAGTTAGTTTGACTTATTTTGTGGATTTAAAAATACTTATAGATACATAACTCATTATTTTACAAAATCACTTATAAGTCCCTTTCCCCACTACTTTCTCAAATAATCTAAGTTAGGAAGACTGTCTATATTTTCTTATATAGGGAGAAAACATATGTAGTCGTAATTCTAAACAATCTATTGATTGTCATATCCACTTTTAGACTGTGTAATGGAAAATGAGCTTAAATAGAACCAAGAGATAAGTATGCATTGCTGATAACCTTTTGTTTGATTCAGTAGATCTGGTAATCTCTGTGCCTATCTTTTATCAATTAATGCTTCAGTTTCCATAAGGGAAGGAACTATTCATCTTACTGAGAACTCTTATCTAAAGTAATGAATTCTTTTCTAAAGCAAGACTGAACTATAAGGCTTTATAAGTGACTAAAAGAAGAAATTCTGAATTCACCTTGCTGGGTTTGAAACTGGGTTTAATACTCCGGCTATGTGAGCCTAGTCAGTTTCCTGATCTATGAAATGAGGATGCTGCAACTATCTCATAATTGTCTAATGTAGTAATACATGCAAACACATTGCCTGGCAATATGGGCTCAACAATGTTCACTGCTATAGTGATAATGATGATGATGACGATAATGATGATGATGATGATGAAAGAAAAAGGTGGGAAGAAGGAGAGGAAGGAGGCAAAAGAAAAAAAAAGTACTGGAGAAGAGAAGAGGAGGAAAAAGAATTACTCCTTCATATATGCCTTGTCTAATTCCAGAATCTTGAATGTTTTTTTTTAAAGTGAAGCATATTCACAGTTTAAGAATGTTTTTATTGGGCCGGCCAAGTGGCGTGTTGGTTAAGAGCTGGCTTGGGACGCCAGCTCTGAGCAGCAGAGCCCCAATTCAGATCCCACATGAGGGCCAGTGACACTGCCCTCCACAGCTAAGATGGTGAACAACAGCTCAACCTGGAGCTGGGCTGCCGTGAGTCGCCGGCGACAGCGTAGGCTGCAGCCCCTGCTGCAGTGGGCTGCCATGAGCTACCATGTGTAGCCAGCAGCCAGCGTGAGTGGCTGGCAGCTGGTGTGAGCTGCCAAGAGCCGCTGTGAGCAGACATACAGAGGCGGGCGACCGATCTGCCTAATCCGGGAAGAGCGCAATGATAATACCACCATGGGCCAGTGAAGCAACATCCTCCACAACTAGACTGAAGAACAAAAGGACAGCAACTTGTCTGTTCCCCTTCCCCCAA